TGGTGAAGTCTAGATGGGGCCTATAGTTTACTTAGTAGTATTGTACCAATGTTAATTTCTTGGTTTTGCTAATTGTTCTATATGTAAGTTGTTAAAGTTAGGAGAAATTGGATGAAGTGATACAGAAACTCTGCATTATATTCTGCAACTTTCTAATGTTAGAAAAGGTTAAAAGGATCAGGATGTTTGGTCGGGGCAGAGGGTGGGGAGAATATAATTGCCAGTATATCTAAGCATGGATTGCTTCTCATTAATTTTTCTTGAAGCATGGTGAATCCATTTTTGGTTTGTAAATTCAGGTCAGGGTATTTCTTGTTTTACTATTAAAATTTCTGTTTCTTCTTTCTGTTCCATCTGTTCTGTATTCTTTTCTTGAGAATTACCATTTTTTGGTTGTACTTCTGTCTTTATGTTAGCACTTTGACTTTCATCATTTCATCTTTCATGTCATTCTCTTTTGTATTCTGGGAGAATTAAAAAATTTTATCAAGGATTTGATTTTCTATACTGACAACTGGCCCTTTCTAGCAAAGATAAATTTAACTCTTTCCATTATATCAATAATTTTTGTGCAGTGTTTTCTTATACTAGCCAAAAACCATTTTATTTTTCTTGTTTTTCAGTTTGCAATTGTTTTTTCAAAGATATGCTACTGAGAACATGGAATATATTTAAAAAATTTTAATTTCCTCTTATACATATGTTCTTATACATTTATACATAGATATGCTATTCATCCTTTCCTTCAATGTAGTGCCAATGTGCAAAACTTTTTTCACAGAACCCATACAGTATATACATTTCTGTTTACTTATCCTTGAATGGAGATCTATCCATGACAATTCTAATAGAGTAGATTAGTTTCATAAGCCCTTGGTTCTCCTGACTGTTCTGTCTTCTCTCTTAAATTTACAACAAGGAGGTTTGATACACACAGAACCTATATAATTTCCATTGTCTAACTAGGTGAGCTTTTTTTGTTCCTGCTGCCTAGTTCTCTGGCTGTCAGTAAGGAATTTATTCTAGAGAATCTTAGGTTGTCTACTGTTTGACTATATACAGCACATGAAAATCTATACCCTCCTGGTATTCTCAGAACTGCAAAGCATGGGCTTTTCCTGTCTCTGCATTCTAGAATACAATGCTTTATACTTGTCCTCCTTAGGTCTTGCTGAATACAAGGAAATTTTAGTTTCTAAACTGATTTAGAAGAAGTATTCATTGGCCAGGTGCAGTGGCTCATGCCTGCAATCCCAACAATTTAGGAGGCTGAGGTGGGAGGATCACTTGAGACCAGGAGTTTGAGACCAGCCTGGGCAACACAGAGAGACCGTGTGTCTACAAAAAATGTAAAATGTTGCTAGGCATGGTGGTGTATGCTTGTAGTCCTAGCTACTTGGGAGGCTGAGGCGGGAAGATCACTTGAACCCAGGAGTTCAAGGTTACATTGAGAGATGATCACGCCACTGCATTCCAGCCTGGGCAACAGAGGGACCCTGTCTCAAAACAAACAAACAAAAAAGAAAGTATTAATGATATTGAAATGAGGAAATGGTTAGGAAGAAGATAGTGGTGGTGGAATCTTTTTGTAAAGTAGCTAATTTTTAGGTGTGTGCACATTCTGAGTCTCTGAGCTAGAAGTAGACAGTGGTGATAGTTCAGATCTCTTTCCAATTTACTTCTGAATTGTACTTTCTTTCCAAAGGGTAAGATGTACATAGGACACTAGTTGTGTTTTCAAGTCCAATCACTACTTAAATTAGAAGAAATCCCTCACAGCCTGGCAAGTGGTTAAATATTATCCTTAATATCCACATTTTCATGGATAGCTAAGTACACATGGGAATTAATTAAAATACACATTCAATTTAAAGGTGAACTCAAATTATAATTTCTTCTGTTTCCAATATCTCAATCCTTGCAAGAACAATTTTATTAGATACTTGTATTAATGCAAAAATGGAACCAACACTGTAAGAAAACATAAAAACACTTTAGAATTCATCACTCATACACTTCATACCTCGGGATTTGATATTTATCCTAAAAGCCTAATAGTTCATATGCCCATATACATAAAGATTTTCCTTTTGTTCCTTCCTATAGTTTAGTTCAGTGGGATAATTTTGATACTATGTGGTTTTGTATTATTGACTTTAAAACTTAATTCTGTATAAGATGTAACTGCTGAATTAGGGAATGCTAGCCCTAATTAATACCATATTAATCTAGTAGCCTCTATATTGGTCTGCTTTGTGTTGTTTTTGTATTTGATTTGACAGATTATGAGGCTGGTGGCTTATAGTAAATGAATAGTTTCTGTAAACAGTACTTTATAATGGTTAGACTTGTGCTCTGAGTTCTGCTTAAGGTCTTTATTTTATTGATTAGAATTGTTGCTTCAGGATAGTTTTGACATTTGAAATTCCTATGTTGGGATATACCCAATTAACATTAACATTCATGAATTAGAGTTTTAAAAATGACTTACATTTATAAAAACAATATGCTCACATTATTCCAAAGAATATTTCTACCTTTCTATTTTAAAAGTTACCAAAGTTTTTGGCACCAGAGAAAATTTGCATTGGAAATAAAAAAGGCTAATGTTTCAAATGTTCTTCATTAATATTTTAATATAGTAATACATTTTAGAAAAAGAATGCTTCCTAATATATCTTTAAAAACAAGTGCAAACTGAAAAACAGGAAAAATAAAATGGTTGCTGCCTAGTATAAGAAAACACTGCACAAAAACTACTGATATGATGGAAAGAGTTAAATCTGTTTTTGCCATGAAGAGCCAGTAGTCACTATAGAAAATCAAATCCTCACTAAAGAATTTTTTTAATTCACCCAGAATACAAAATAAGATAATGTGAAAGGTGAGATGATGAAAGATAAAGTGCTGGAATGGAGAGGACAGAGAGACAAGTCCAATCAACATATGTGTATTAAGATTTGCATATTATAGCCGGGCATGGTGGCTCATGCCTGTAATCCTAGCACTCTGGGAGGCCGAGGCAGAAGGAGTTCGAGACAGCCTGAGCAAGAGCGAGACCCTGTCTCTACTAAAAATAGAAAGAAATTAATTGGTCAACTAAAAATATATAGAAAAAATTAGCTGGGCATGGTGGCACATGCCTGTAGTCCCAGCTACTTGGGAGGCTGAGGCAGGAGGATCGCTTGAGCCCAGGAGTTTGAGGTTGCTGTAAGCCAGGCTGATGCCACGGCACTCTAGCCCAGGCAACAGAGCGAGACTCTGTCTAAAAAAAAAAACAAAAATTTCCATGTTATAATACAAATGCACTACAAACAAAAGTAGATAACTTGCCACACAGTAAAACTTGCACAGCAAAGCATTTCTATAGGATTGTACAGTTCTAGAAAACTATAGAAGTGGTTTTAGAGTTTCTGTCTCTGGGTAGGGCATCATTTTCTATTGAGGGCTACTAAATCTCTTAAAGAAAAATATTGAGTATAAAATGTATAGAACACTTAACCTTGAAAAATAAAAAGAAATAAAACATTCTATACAATTGCTTTGTGTTCCAGTTTTGACTTTGGAAGTTTATTAAATTTTTTCATCTATAACAAAGGAGAATTGTTAGTTTTTATATGATTAAATTAAAGAGTAAGACACCAGTTCCTCTGTATAATTTCTATTGTTACCTACTTACAGATGCAAGAAGATTTAGAGACATGTACTTATTTAAACTAGAAGAATTAAACTTTAAATTAAGAATTTAAGCAATACAATTTCTATGATTTGTGATATATTATCTATCTCACTAACTGTAAATAACTAGCCATTATCTAATAAGGCACAGCAATATCAGCTATCTCTATAGACATATAATTGGAGAAAGTGTTAACATCAGAGGGAGTCTGTTTTAGATTTTTTAATAATAATAAAAATGAAGTCTCAATAAAGTTTAATATCACTTTGGGCTTTTGACACTATATCAAAATTAATTATGGTTTTATTTCATGTCTGTAGTACAGTGGTAAACACAGTGAGGGAATGCAGTGAGTGGTAATGGCAGCAAGTGGGGAGGCTCCTTAAGGTAGACTATCTTGATATTGAGTTCAACTCATAGGATGGGTCAGAAGCATAAATATGAGTATGAAATAGCTAATCTCCATCATTTTATTGCAAAGAATATGCCTACTTTCCTCACCAAAGTACACTGTACACAAGATTTGTATTACCATCTCAACACTTAATCAATCTGTAGTTCTTCACAGGAGATAAAGTTCATTTCCCTTAAGTGATGATGTAAGAGTTTCACTAAGAAACTTGGTCATAAGAGAATAGGAAGATTTCCCTGCTACATAGTAGACAGTCAAAATGTATTGCATATATACATACATCTAACTAGATTATCATTCTTTGGGCCTGAATCTGATTTAGGAAGCATGAATATGATTCCCAAAATGGAAGAGAAGATCATTAACTGTTTTTATCTCTCCATAAATGGCATATGGCATCGAGACAGATAATCAAAATCTCAGCATTGTATATGAAATATCTAGAATAGGCAAATTCATAGAAAAAGAATAGAGTAGAGGTTAGCAGGGACCAGGGGCAAAGGGGAAGGAGAAAGAAGGAGTTATTGCTTAAAGGGTACAAAGTTTCTGTTTGTGGTGATGAAAAAGTTCATAAATAGTGGTGATGGTTATACAGCATTGTAAATGTAATTAATACCACTGAATATACACTTAAAAATGGTTAAAATGGTAAATTTTAAGTTATATATATTTTACCACAATAAATAAAAATTTTGAGCATGTCTGATTTATAAATTCTACAAAATTAATTCCTAGGAATTATAGTTAATTTATAGTTTTATTTCCTTCACATGACAGAATTCACTAGTTCTGTACTTCTGATCACAAATGTGATATAAATATGCAAAGTTGTTCCTTTCTGGAAGAGATTTTAGAAAATTTGAAATATAACTGAAGAAAAACAGAAAAAAATTAAGAGAAATTTCTTACTTTAATTGGTTCAGGCTGCATCACAGGTGCAGGCATAGCAATGGCACTTGGAGCATAAACCTGGTGATATGTTGCTTGAACTCCATGATCAGAATAAGGCTATTAGAAAAAAAATGAGAGGAAAAAAAGGATCACCTTTCATTTATTAATTCAAAACATTTATTCAGCATTTACAATGTACTAAACATTCACTACACAATAGAGAAACACAGATTAAAAAACATATTCCCTATGTTTAAGTATTAGGTCATTAAACATGAAACGTCCGATTTTGAATCAAAAGTTTAAGTTTATTATATCTTAAACAAGCAGCAGGACAATTAATCAAAGTGTGCAACTAAAATATCGACACAGTTTTGCCATCTTAAGGGTAGCTTGTTTATGCCAGCAGCAAAGAAGCCTGGACAGTGAGTAACAATGAAATTGCAAAAGGTGTTTTTCATAGCTTGTTGAAAACTGAATATTTTTCCTTGCAAGAAATGTTCCAAAGCCTGGAAGAAGTGGTAGTTGGTGCAAGGTCTGGTGAATACAGTGGATGACAGAGAGTTTCCAGGTCTGGCTGCTGTAGTTTGAGCAGCACTGTCTATGCAACATGTGTCAAGTGCTGTCTTGCAAGAGGATCAGTCTGTCTCTATTGACCAATTGATTGATTAATTGCAAGCATCCTCATCATTTTGTCCAATTGGTTGCAGCAGACATCCGCTGTAATGGATTGACCAGGTTTTATGAAGCTGTGGTGGATAATACCAGCAATGGACCACCAAACAGACACCATTAGCTGTTTTTGATGAATATTTGGTTTTAGACAGTTTTGGCACTTCATCTTTATCCAACTATTGTGCTGATTGCTTGCAATTGTCAAAAAGAATCTATTTTTCATCACATGTAACGATACGGTGTAGAAATGGTTCACCTTTATGTTGTGACAGCAAAGAAAGATGAGCTTCAAGACGATTTCTCTTCTGAAGCTTGTTTAATTCACATGGAACCCATCTGTCCAGCTGCTTTACCTTGCCAATTTGTTTCAAATGGTCCACTATTGTTGGAATAGTAATATCAAACCTTGCTGCTAATTCATGTATAGGCTGAGATGAATTTGCTTCCACTATAGCTTTCAGGTGATCATTATCCACCTTGGTCTCAGGTCACCCACATGGCTCACTTTCACAATTAAAATCAGCAGACTGGAACTTCTCAAACCATAGATGTATTGTTTGTTCATTAGCCACATCCTTCCCAAACACTTTGATGACATTTTGAGCTATCTGTACTGTATTGGTTCCATGATGGAACACATATTAAAAAATAACAGATTTTTTGATTTATCCATGGTTTCACAAAAATTGTTCTTAAAAATGTGAAAGGTAATCACAAGCCGAAATGTGCATTTGAAAAACTGAGGATGTACCTTCACAATAGGAAAAAAAAACCCATTAAGTATCAAAGTGAAATGTCAGAGAGCTCAATTGTCAAACTTAGTACTTAAGGAAACTGGACATTTCATACTTAATAACCTATATCTTATAGTTTGATCAGGGAAATAGTAATCAAAATTGCCACAAGTCCTCTGAGACATGTATAGGAATACACAGGAAAAAAGAAAACAAAAGAAAACAACTATTTGATTTAGCTTAAGAAAGTTGGGGAGGGCGGTCAGGGAAAGTTTCCTAGTGGAGTTGATGTTCAAGTTTGAAGAATTAAGGAAAGAATGATAGAATAGTATGAGTAAAGGCATAGAGGTAGATAAGAACATACTTCATTTGGGAGATTTGCCCAGGTTTTTGGTATGGCTGGAAGGAAGATTATACACTAAAGCATAGCTGAAAGATGAGGTAGTAGAGCAATAGGCAGAGGAAGAGATTATGTAAAAGCAGATTTATGGCTTGTCCAACAGATGGTGGCACCATTAATTGAGATATGAAATACAAGGAAAGCCTAATGTTTATGTAATTGTGTGTGAGTGGGTTGGAGAAGAGTTAGGTTTGTGACATATAACAAAATTTGTGATAGCTGTGGGAATTCTAGGAGAGGTGTACTCTTGATAGAAAGAGAGGCTGGGTGCAGTGGCTCATGCCTGTAATCCTAGCACTTTAGGAGGTAGAGGCAAGAGGATCGCTTGAGGCCAGGAGTTCAAGACCAGCCTGAGCAACAAAGCAATAACCCATCTTTAAAAAAAATTTAAAAATCTGTCGGGTGTGGTGACACATACTGGTAGTTACAGTGATGTCACTGTACTCTAGCCTGGGTGACAGGAAGACCCTGGCTCAAAAAAAAAAAAAAAAAGATAGATGGCTTAGAGTAGACCATCAGAAATAAATATAATGTGAAGCCAGGCACAGTGGCTCACACCTGTAGTCCCAGCACTTGGAGAAGCTGAGCCAGGAGGACTGCTTGAAGCCAGGAGGTTAAGATCAGCCTGGGCAACATAGTGAGAGCCTATCTCTATAAAAAAATAAGAAAAATTAGCTGGGTGGCAGTCCCAGCTACTCAGGAAGCTGAGACAGGAGGATCACTTGAGCCCACAAGTTTGAGGTTATACTGAGCTATGATCCTGCCACTGCAACTCGAGCCTGGGTGAAGAGCAAGACCCTATATAAAAAAAAAAGAAAAAGAAAAATATGAGCTACATATATTATTTAAAATTTTCCAGTAGTCACATTAGAAAAAAAGAGGTGAAATTAATTTTTAGTATTTTATTTAAACCAATATATGCAAAATATTATCACACAAAAGTATAATAAATATAAAAATTATCAAGATGTTTTATAATATTTTTTTCATGCTATGTCTCCAAAACCTAGTATGTATTTTACAGTACATCTCAACTCTGTCTTGCCACATTTTAAGTGCTTAATCATCACATGTGCCTTATGGCTACTGTATTGGATAGTACAGTCTCAAACTCAGGAGTGAGGTGGGGACTAGAGACATGGATATGGATGGTAACATGAGAGTAAGCATACAGGATGAGGGAATGGAGAACCAAATATGAAATGATGAGAAGCAAAACATCAGCTTACAAAGAAAAAGAAAAGGAGGTAAAAGGATTGCCAGAAAGAGCAGAATTATGGAAACCAAGGGTAGGAAGAGTTTTAAGGAGTATGTGCAATGTCTCTGAGAGGTCAAACAAGATTAAAAAGGAAGGAAAATATTTGGCAATTAGTATGTCACTGAGGACTTTTATTAAAGGCAGCTTCAGCAGAAAGATAAGGAAGCAGGTGAGGAGTGAATGGGTAGTGAAGGCAGTAGAAATACTAAATGTACACTACTTTTTCAGGAAGCTTGGCTTTGAAAGGCAGACAAAAATTAGGGTATTGGTGGCAGTATGTGTCACAGGATAATATTAATAATTGCCTCTTACAATGTGCTAGGCACTATGCAAAGAACTCTGTATACATCTCTACTTTTTACATCAATCCTGCAAAATAGATTTTCCTGATGTCCTCATTTTACAAATATAGAAATTATTAAAGCCAGACTGAATGTTAAACAATTTCTCAAAATAATATAATTAGTAAGTGGTGAAGCTGTGAACCAATGAAGAGAAAATGACTTACAACACAGGAGAAAAAAAGAATAGATGGAATGAGGACAATGAGCAGGGTGAAATTGATGGTATCCAAACCACAATAGGCAGAAATAACCTTGGATAAGAATGAAAGTCACTAAATATAAATATAAGAAGCTAAGGATGAGTTAGGATTCAGGTAAGTTTGTACATTGAGGGCTGAAGCCTGAGTTAGTTTCTACAAACTGGTTTCTACTTGCTCTGTGAAAAGAAGGCAAAACTATATTTAAGAGTGAAAGGGGGGAACTGGTAGTACTGAAGGCATGGCAAATGTTTAAAATAATCATTGAAATAAGTGAGTGAAGATGCTAACCAAAAAACCTCTTAAACTATAAACCACTCCATTCTATTAAGTTATATATTAGACTATATCTTCTACTAGAAATGATATTGAAATCATACACAGTAAAAGTTTAAGATAATAATAAGCAATATTTTCAGAAAAATCTTAGATTTCACTAGTGACTATACTCTGATAATAACTATCTGATGATTTTAGGAATTAAGAATATGGTTGAATGCCAAGAGTAGATTCTAGCTAAAAATCTAATGTAAAAGCATTCTTACCCTCATTATCTGCTCCTTGATAATCAGAAAACAATAAAAATAACAAAAGATAGATTTGTAAAATGCCATCATTAATTGTATAAAAAAATACTCATGAGTCCTAAACCACAAACAACACAGAATGTCTACCCAGTGCTGTACAATTTGGACCAATATGAGGGATTCCGAAGCCTCCTCAGGCATCAGGAAGGATAAAGATTTCCCTAGAGGTTGATGTTCTGGAAGACCTATTAAAAACTTCTTTAGAGACTTCAGTGAAGGGGTATATATGATAAGAACAAGGTGGAAGCAGGGAATAGCTCCACAGAGATCCAATTTTATGCTGCTTTGTAATAGGGGAGGTAGAATTGAAGGAACAATTATGTTTACACCATTTTTGTCATGTACCATCTAGCTTTTAGCTGAGAAACACTACTGGAGGTAAATAAAGCAGGGTAAAGCTAGGAAAGGAAGTAGCAATTACTACATCCCAATACAGAAAACCTGTGATTAAAAAGGAACTATACTAGGAACCAAAATGATCTTCAGTGAGGATGTGGAGAAAAGGGAACTTTTGTACACTGTTGACAGAAATGTGAATTAGTACAGCCATTTTGGAAAACAGTATAGAGGTTTCTCAAAAAATTAAAAATACTACTATATAATCCAGTAATCCCACTACTGGGTATATATATATATATATATTCTCAAAAACTAAATGTAGAACTATTATACAATCTAGCAATATCATTGCTGGATATTTATTAAATCAGTATATCAAAGAGTTATCTGTACCCCCATGTTCATTGCAGCATTATTCACAATAGCCACTAAATAATCAACCTTAGTGTCCATCAACAGATAAATGGATAAAGAAAATGTGATATCTATATACACAATGAAATACTATATAGCCTTAAAAAGAAGAAAATCCTGTTATTTATGACAACATGGATGAACCCAGAGGACATAATTCTTAGTGAAATAAGCCAGGCACAGAAAGACAAATATAGCATGTTCTCACTTATATGTAGAATCTGAAAAAGTTGTATTCATAGAAGCAGAGAGTAGAATGATGACTGCCAGGGGTTGGGGTGGGGGATAGGAGATGTTGGTACAGAGTTTCAGTTAGACAGAATGAATATGTCCTGGAGCTCTATTGTACAGCATGATGACTAAAGTTAATAATGATATATACTTGAAAATTGCCAAGAGAATATATTTTAAATGTTCTCTCCACAAATAAAAACAGATAACCATGTGAGGTGATGGATTAGCTTGATTGGGGTAATCATTTCACAATGTATACGTATATCAAAACATGTTGTACACTGTATATACCATTTTTGTCAACTATACTTTAGTAAAGCTGGGGGTCAAAGAGCAACCACAAAAAAATAAATGGGGGGTGAGACAAAGAATGGAGAAATCCTAGTAAAAGTGTTGATGGTAAACATTAAGATCCAACTGTTGAAATTATTGTTTCAGAAGAAAATTACAATATTATAAAACTTTGCAATAGAAAAACAAATAATGCATTCAAATTGGGAGGTGAGTACTAATTTCCTAATCTTTTCATAACACTGATTTTAAACAAACTATGCACAGTTCCTGGCACACAGATGGTGAAGCTATTTGTAATGGATCAGGAATATAATTTAAAGACCCTTAAGATGATATTTAAAATTTGTAGTTATAAATTTAATTTGCATTTTTAAAGGAAGAATTTTTTAAAGATGTTTTTCTTTTTTGGCTTAATTATTATGCTTTTAACTGACAGAATGTAAGTAACAATACAGACTGACAGACAAAAAGAGAGGGCAAAACATTTGGTGTTTTACTATTTCAAAGAGCCTGAGTCAAAGATTAGCCTAGTGGAGTGAACAGTTGATTTGGGGAATGGTTCAGAACTAGTTTGTGAAGAAGACTTAAGATGAAGCATTCTTAGATATAAAAAAGGAGAAAAGATGTGAATAAATCAAACTAAACATAAGATGAAGTAGTTTCAATGAGAGTCTTAAAACAAATTTTAAAAAGAGATAAATGTTAAGATGAGGTAGTTATAGATTAATTACTTTAAGATCAATACATACCTCTGGAACTGAGGCTTCCATAAAAGACAGTGGAGGAGGAACATATCCACCATCTTGTGCAATTTCCACTGGTTGATAAATAACCTCAGAAGGTTGCAGGTATAAGAATGGAGCAGAAGAGGCAGGAGACTAAAACACAAAACCATATTTCTACTTTAAATATGATTAGTTATTTCTGTTAAACCAAATGACTTACCAAACAAATGAGAGAAATATTTGTTACATATTTTCCTAAAATTCTTTTTCAGGGATAGCCTAGAAGTATCTTAGCAACAGAGTAGGAACTTTGGGTTGATATAAATTCCAACTGTATAGATGTCATTAAAGAACTTTATCACTGGTAAGTACTAAAAGTTCTTAGTGCCTTGGGATCTCACAAATAAATTCAGATAATAATTATGGATATATCAATATCACCATTAAAGATTGTAACAATATGACCTATGGTATTTAAATTGGCATAAATGTTTACTCTCACTTTTGTGACTTCCCATAGAAGTGGGAAGATGTCTTTTTGGTGGTATACTATTTGTTATCAAAAGTTGGAAAACAAAATACTTACTTAGGAGCATAAGTCAAACTTAAGCAAAATCTGAAGTAAAGCTACACAAATGCTAAATTTTCAAATAATACTAATAGTAAAAATTAATTTTACATATTTATACAGTACTCATTTATAAAATGTTTTCAGTTATATAATCTCATTTGATCTTCACAAAAATCATGTAAGGAAACTTACAAAGGTGTAGTATCATTATATCCATTTTGCAAATGAAGAAACTGAGGATATTGTGATTACATGAACTGCCAAAGGGATCACAGTTAATAAACAGAAGAGGAAGGTCTCAAACCAATTTTTCCTTTCATATTCATGCAATCTTCACAAGAATACAATGAAAAAAGGATTTTAAATTAGATACTGAAAGTTAATATTTACCTGAGGAACACCCCACTGCCACTGTCCTGGTAGACACTGTGCAGGGGCCTAAAATGAAAAAAAAAAGAAAACCAAGAAACAAAAACCACCCCGATTATAAACAAAGGTTAAAACTGGATATTCACATGCAAAAAAATGAAGTTGGACCCTCAACTATAGATAAAAATTAACTCAAACCATATACAGAAATTAAGTGAAAATGGATCAGAGACTTAAATGTAAGAGCTAAAGCTATAAAACTCTTAGAATGAAACATAGGTGTAAATCTTTGTGATCCTGAATTACAAAATGGTTTTAAAATTATGACAACAAAAGCACAAACAAAAAAGCAACAAGAGAAAAAATAAGATTGGACTTCATCAAAACTTTTGTGCAAGTTAAAAAAATATAACTGACAGTATGGGAGAAAAATAAGGAACTTATATCAAGAATATATAAATAATTCTTACAACTCAATAATAAAAAGATAAGCAACCCAATTTAAAAATGGGTAAATGATATTAATAGACTTTTCTCCAAAGAAGATATAAATATGGGCAATAAGCACATGAAAAGCTGCTTGACAACATTAGTCTTCAGAGAAATACAAATCAAAACCACCATGTGATACCACTTCATACCCACTAGGGGAGCTATACTAAAAAAGGTAGGTTCTAAGTGTCAACAAGCATGTGAAGAAATTAGAACCTTCATACTCTGCTGGTAGGACTATAAAATGGTGCAGCCCTTTTGGAAAATAGTCTGACACTTCCTTAAAAAGTTAAATGTAGAATTACTATGACCCAGCAATTGCACTTTAGGTATAAGACTTAAGAGAATGAAAACATGCTCACATAAAAACTTGTGTACAAATGTTCATCATAGCATTACTCATAACAGTAAAAAAGTAGAAACAACCCAAATGGCCATTATCTGATGAATGGATAAACAAAATATGGTATAGTATATCCGTACAATGGGATGTTATTAAGGTATGAATTACTGATAAATGCCATCACATAAATAATTCTTGAAAACATTATACTAACTGAAAGAAGTCAGTGACAAAAGACCATACACTGTATGATTTTTTTACATGAAATATCCAGAATAGGCAAATCTATAAAAACAAAGAAATGGATTACCGATTGCACAGGGCTGTGATGGGGAGGAAAGAGAAATAATTGCTAACAGGTAAGATTTTTTTTCTGTGGGGGAGATGTGATTTAAATGGTCTAAAATCAATTCTGGTATGGTTGCACAACTCTGAATTTGACAAAAACCACTCAATTATATAATTTTAGCTGGTGAATTGTACAGTATGTGAATTATATCTAAATCAAGCTATTATTAAAACGGTCAACTTATTTAAGGTGCTTATGGTAAGATGACAATATAAAAGATAGACTCTTTATTTCTTAAGATAATTGTATTATTATTTCCTAATAATGAATGTCTTATTCTTGCTATTCATTTTTAATAAAGTCTTTTTTCATTATTAAAGTCAAAAAACAGAAAAAAGGAATAAGATAATCCCATGAGTCTACTGTCTAAACCAAATCACTGTAAATTTAGTGCTGACCACTTCAGCTGCTAAGGAATGATATCATTATATTGAAATAACGATCAAGATAGTGCAAAGTCTATGTTCTAAATACTATATTCAAAAAAGTCAGGATAATGTATAATATCTTAAGAAAATACTTTAATAAAGAACTTGAGGCTGGGCGCGGTGGCTCACGCCTGTAATCCTAGCTCTCTGGGAGGCCGAGGCGGGCGGATTGCTCGAGGTCAGGAGTTCGAAACCAGCCTGAGCAAGAGCGAGACCCCATCTCTACTATAAATAGAAAGAAATTAATTGGCCAACTAATATATACAAAAAATTAGCCGGGCATGGTGGCGAATGCCTGTAGTCCCAGCTACTTGGGAGGCTGAGGCAGGAGGATTGCTTGAGCCAGGAGTTTGAGGTTGCTGTGAGCTAGGCTGACACCACGGCACTCACTCTAGCCTGGGCAACAAAGCAAGACTCTGTCTCAAAAAAAAAAAAAAAAAAGAACTTGAAATAGAATGATATGTGAATTTGTTAGATAAATGAAAGCACTATCTACTATGAACTGTGAAATAATACGAAGGCAGTAAATATCAATTAAACTATGCATTATCTGCTTTTACTAACAAACACTGATGAAAGCATCAATCTTAGAATTTGTAAAAAGAAAGAGCAAAGAAAGATTCTTATCAAAGTGGCAATTTTAAGGGTAGAATAATGAATATGTAACTGAAAAGAAATACATAAAGTAAAATGAGTTTTTCTTTTTTGAGACAAAGTCTTACTCTGTTGCCTGGGCTGGAGTGCCGTGACATCAGCCTAGCTCACAGCAACCTCAAACTCCTGGGCTAAAGCGATCCTCTGGCCTTAGCCTCCTGAGTAGCTGGGACTACAGGCATGTGCCACCATGCCCAGCTAATTTTTTTATATATATAAAATTTTTAGTTGTCCAGCTAATTTCTTTCTATTTTTTTAGTAGTGACAGGGTATCACTTTGCTCAGGCTGGTCTCAAACTCCTGAGCTCAAATGATCCTCCCATTTCAGCCTCCCAGAGTGCTAGGATTACAGGCGTCAGCCACCATGCCTGGCCAAAATGACTTTTTATATTACAAAATGTTATCATGTTACAAATTGGTATCAAAATCTTTCTTGAGTATATCTAGGCAACACACCTTCAATTTTATAATTTGTGTCAAGCAGAAAATCAGAGTCAAAATATAAAATTAAAGTGTATTAGAAACTTTTCAGAATACAGATGTGTCAAGTGAGCTACTGCCCTATGTAATGAATTCATTGGTTGGGGAGGAGAGAAAATGCCAAAGCATTCTAACAACTCTCTTGTTAAAGAAAGCCTTGTTACCAATTTCCCATATCAATCTCCATCACCTCTCATATGTGCTGACAGTGGACAATGAACTAAAAGTCTCAAAACTGGTTTCACAATTTTTTGGCCTGTCATATCAAATGATTTGGTACTTAGTGATCTGTCTCTCTGCTGAAATTTGAGATAGCTGAGGAAAAAGTACACTACATATATTTTAAATAAATGCCATTGCTAGTTTCATTTTTAGTAAGTGAAGGAAACATTTTATTTTTATATTTAGCATGGTAATAGAATTAAAAAAATAACTGATCTCCCCTAAACCAAATCTAATAGTAAAAAGGATTTTAGTAACCTTAACTTAACATTTCATACGGGTCTATTTTAAAAGTTCAAAAAGAAAAAATAACAGAAATAAAAAGCACATCTACTATTCCAAAGGTATGAAAGAATGATTTTATATGTGAATGCTATAGACTAGAGGTTGGCGATTTTCTTCTATAAAGGACTAGAGAGTAAATATTTTAAGCTTTGCAGGCCATAAGATCTCTCTTGAAACTACTCAATTCTTCCACTGTAGCACAAAAGCAGCCATAGACAATATGTAAACAAATGGCTGTGCTCCAATAATGCTTTATTTACAAAAACAGGCTGCTGGCTGTGTTTGGTCTGCAAGCCATAGTTTGATGCCCCTGCTATAGACCAAAAGGGTCTGGTATTATACTGTGTTTCCCCGAAAATAAGACCTACCCATAAAATAAGCCCTAGCAGGATTTCTAAGTATTTGCGCAATATAAGCCCTACCCCGAAAACAAGACCTAGTGATGGGCATGGCTACACAGGATATCTGCACAACCCATGCATTTTGTCGTGGAATGGTAAAGAAGATGAGCAGCCCTTCTCATCTGCCCCATGAGAGCTCTATTGCTTGACACGAGAGATTGGGGCCAATGGTTCTAAAGGAAATAGAGTCGCAAGAAATTCAGGATGGAATTTGGGGTTTGGAGAGTTATGATGATGTTCCAGAAGAATACGACTTAACTATATTTGAATAAATGTAGATTGTTGTACTGTACTTAAAAAAAATAACACATCCCCTGAAAATAAGCCCTAGGGTGTCTTTTTGAGGAAAAATAAATATAAGACCCTGTCTTATTTTTGGGGAAACACAGTAGTTCACTTATCCCCAGTCTCCTACTAGAACGGATGAAGGGTGCTATTTAACTAAAAAAGGCTGTCATAATATATAATAAACCACAATGTTTTACTAATTTTAATATATGTTAAGTATAACACAGCAATAAACTGACATAATGTTAACAGTACATTAAAAAATCAGATTATAGTCTAATACCTGTATCTTACTTTGGGAGTTATTGCTAAAGACTTTTTAGATTAAATGTTAGCCAGGGGGAGCAAAACTGACTTCATTACATTTGGTAAAAGGCAGCAAACAGTTCATCTTCTTGTATGACATTGTTTAGTTTTCTCATTAAAAAAGGAAAAAAAACTATGATCAAGGTTTAATTATCTCTTTTAAATTAGTAGAAAAGTTACATGAGAAAGAAATAAATGAAAGTTCCCTGAAAAAGGACTTAAAAGTATCAGAGAGGATTTAAGTTGTAATTTCATATTTACCTGGTAGTGATATGCAGGTTGCTGATAAACAGGCTGAGCTACCATCACAGGTGAGCTAGATATAGAACGTGACTATATATGACGAAAGAAAAATAGAAAAAATTCTTTTAGGCTAAATTTTAAAAAAATAGCTCATAATAAAATTTATCTCAAATTATTACCTAAACCCAGTCAACTTATGGCTTATGATTAGAAATGTATTTTCTACCTCTTATTTATTATCAACTCTACTAAGTCTACTTATTAAAATAATCACTGTATTTCTATTACACTTCTGTGTGGTTTCATTTCCACAGTAATGCTAAAGTAACCACTAGAAAAGTTGCTTTTAGTCCGGAATGTATCAGCTCCAAAGATTATGAGAATATAGTTCTAAGAGAATATTTAGAGGAAAATGGCAGCTAGATTTGTGTGTGTGACACTGCCTATTCCCATTGTGGGGACCAGCATCAGATAGTTAATGCTTACAAAAGCATTTAGAATTGAATGAATAATCATATCTGATTTTCCCACTACTTACAAATAATCAACATTCAATTCCCTTGTTATACATTTAACTAAATAAAAACATTTTTATTGAAGCATCTGTCAAATTCTGTTATATCAGTAATTTGACACTTAAATGTGTTAATCATCTAACAACTTTATGAGTGATTTATCTATGTCTGAAGACAGTATAAGTAACACTTGATTATTCAAAGTTAAAGAATAAACCCCAAAAGAGATTACTGAAAACCAGATCATTAATAAAACAGGCAAGTTGTATAGTAAGATAGGTAAAATCAGCACTAATATAGTAATTAAAATTCAATTTCCAACATGGGATCTAACTTACGTTGTTTTGTTTTAATGTTCAACTTCCCCAAACTGTAGAAAAGTATCATAGTTTTGTACAATTCACAGACTATGATATGCTGAGAAAAACTGTACCAAAGATTAACATTAGAAACTAATCATGTAATTTACTATATTAATAGGTTAAAGGAGAAAAATTATAATTTCAACAGATATAGAAATAGCATTTGTTAAAATTAAATATTTTTATGATAAAATCTCTTAGCAAACAGAATAGAAAATAACTTATTTAATTGATTTAAGGCAGTACTTCTCAACCATGGGTGATTTTGCCCCCTAGGGAACATCTGGCACTGTTAGGAAACATTTTTGGTTGCCATAACTACAGGGAGGTTAGGGGCACTTCTAAACATCCTACAGTGCACAGAACTACCTTCCACAACACAGAAACCATCTGGCCCAAAATGAGAAGGTTGAGAAACTCTTGTTAAGAGTATCTTCTAAAGCTTATAAAGTGTCTCAAAATTTTAAGAGCCATATATAACAAACCCACAGCCAACACCATACTGAATGGGGAAAAGTTGAAAGGATTCCCCCTAAGAATTGGAACAAGACAAGAGTGCCCACTGTCACCACTTCTATTCAACTAGTGCTGGAAGGCCTAGCCAGAGCAATCAGGCAAGACAAAGAAATAAAGAGTATTCAAATCGGGAAAGAGCAGGTCAAATTATCGCTTTTTGCTGACAATAAAGTATTTTATCTAAAAAAACACAAAGACTCCACCAAGAAACTCTTGGAATTGATAAATATTCAGCAAAGTCTCAGGTTACAAAATCAATGTACACAAATCAGTGGCTTTTGTATACATCAGTAGCAGTAAAGCTGAGAAATCAAAGACTCAATACCATTCACAATAGCTATAAATAAAAATACCTAGGAAAATAAAATACCTAGGAATATACTTAACCAAGGAGGTGAAAGGTCTCTACAGAACTACAAAAGACCAAGGAAAGAAATCACAGATGACACAAATAAATGGAAAAATATATCATGCTCATGGATTGGTAGAATCAATACTGTTAAAACGTCTATACCACCCAAAGTGATTTACAGATTCAATGTAATCCCCATCAAAATACCAGCGTCATATTTCACAGAGCTAGAAAAAATAATTCTATGCTTTGTTTGGAACCAGAAAAGAGCCCAAATAACCTGAATAGATTTCTTTAAATCTTAAGCAAAAAGAATAAATCTGGAGGCATCACATTACCAGATTTCAAACTGTATTACAAGGTTATAGTAACCAAAAAAGCATGTTATTTGCCCAAAATAGAGACACAGGCCAATGGAACAGAACAGAGAACCCAGATATAAAACCATCTACAAACAGCCAACTGATCTTTGACAAAGCAGACAACAATATACACTAGGGAAAAGAAGCCCTATTCAATTAATGGTGCTGGAAAAATTGGATAGCCACATGTAGAAGAATGAAACAATACCCCTATCTCTCACCACTCACAAAAATTAATTCAATATAGATAAAGGATTTAAATGTCAGGCATGAAACCATGAGAGTTCTAGAAGAAAATGTAGAAAAAAACTCTTCTAGATATTGGCCTAGGCAAAGAATTTATGACTAAGATCCCAAAGGCAACTACAACAACAGCAAACATAAATAAATGGGACTTGATTAAATCGAAAAGCTTCTGTACAACTAAGGAAATAATCAGCAGAGCAAACAGACAACCTACAAAATGGGAGAAAATATTCACAAACTATACATCTGAAAAGGGCGAATATCCGGAATCTACAAAGAACTCAAACAAATCAGCTAGGAAAAAACAATTCACCCCATTAAAAATCGGGCAAAAGACATGAACAGAAGTTTTTCAAAAGAAGATAGGCAAATGGCTAACAAACACATGAAAAAATGCTCAAGTCACTAATCATCAGGGAAATGCAAATTAAAATCACGAGATATCATCTTTTCCCTGTTTGAATGGCTTTTATTAAAAAGTCTGAAAACAATAGATGCTGGCATGGATGTGGAGAGAAAGGAACTTATACATTGTTGGTGGGACTGCAAATTGGTATAACCTCTATGAAAAACAATGTGGAGATTTTTCAAAGAATTAAATGTAGACCTACCATTTGATCCAGCAATCCCACTACTGGGTATTTACCCAAAGGAAAATAAGTCATTTTATCAAGAGACACCTGCACTTGAATGATTATTGTAGCACAATTCACAACTGCAAAGATGTGGAATCAACCCAAGTGCCCATGAATTCATGAATGGATTAACAAAATGTGGTATATGTATATCATGGAGTACTACTAAGCCATAAAAGGAGGAATTAATGCCTTTTATAGCAATCTGGATGGAACTGGAGACTATTATCCTAAGTGAAGTATCTCAAGAATGGAAAACAAACACCACATATATTTCCTAATAAATTGGAACTAACCAAGGGGCACACATGTGCACAGAGGGAAGTAAAAGTATTGGAAATCAAACATGGAGGAAAGGGAAGCAGGGAGGGGTAAAAACTTACCTAACGGGTACTGTGAACACTAACACTATTCAAGTAATGGTTTGAGCACACTTGTAGCCCTCACTCAAACATTACAAAAGTTATCCATGTAACAAAACCATTTGTATCCCCTTAATATTTTGAAATTAAAAAAGAATAAAATCCAGATTTATGGCTTAGAAAAAAATAATAAAGCCTACAAAGTGTGCGTGTGTGCATGTATGTATGTAAGTATATATATGTGTATATTTTAAGTTTAATGGTGAATCAATTAACTTATTCCCTTTTTCAAGAACAAGGTCATAATATCATCACTGTTATACCACTGTTACATATTAATACTGTGGCAGAGACACTGTCAGTACAATAGCTTGAGGGAAAAAAATGAGAAACAAAAGAATAAAAAGAAATAGAAGTACACTGAATCATAAATGATCGTCTGAATGAGAGTTTGGCAGAATTACTGATACAATATCAACAATGAAAAATCAAAAGTATTACTATACATCAGCTACAACCTATTAGGAAATGTGATTTGACAATAATATTCATGGCTGGGCACAGTGGCTCACACCTGTAATCCTAGCACTCTGGGAGGCCGAGGTGGGAAGATTGTTTGAGCTCAGGAGTTTGAGATCAGCCTGAGCAAGAGTGAGACCCCATCTCTACTAAAAATACGAAGAAATTGGCTGGACAACTAAAAATATATAGAAAAAATAGTATTCATAAAAACAAAAATTTGTGCTAAGAATAAATTTAACAAAAGATGTCAAGTTTTTTTATGGAGAAAGAAAACTTTTTTTTGATGGATGGAAATAAAAGAAGATCTAAGTAAATGGAGAGATATATCATGTTCATGCATGGTAAGATTCAATATTATAAAATACCAAAATGTTCCCAGTTAATATGCATATATAATGCAATTCTAATAAAAACCTAATAAGGGCTTTACATAGAACTGAACAAGCTGTATTACAAAATTTTTACTTTTATAAAAGTAAAGACTCAAGGATAGATGAGAGACTCCTGAAGAAGAACAAAGTGAGAGGATCTGTCCTATCTGATTTTAAGACTCATTATAAAGTCATAGTAATTAAAACAGAATTTGGCAGAGCAAACAAATATCCAAATAGAACAGAAACAGGGAGCCCAGGAAGAGACCCCCACACATGGAAACTTGGTGTAATATTTGACAGCGGATTCATTTCAAAATTCTAGGAAAAGAATGGGTTAGACAATACATAAATTCAAGCTTTAAAATCTAGATATGAAAAGTAGCAACACTAGAGAGCTTTTAAAAATAAAACATAGAATATCTATATTCTTGTTATAATAAAGAATTATTTTTAAAACAAGACACTAGAAGCTGAAACTATAAAGAAAAACATTAATACATTTGTCAACATTAAAACAAAGAACACAAATCATAAATTTTTTATGAGAAAAAATCATAAAGTTAATGGAAAAGACACAAAGATATTCACAACCTACAAAAGAATAAGAAGATATTCACGACCTACAAAATGGAAAATGGATGATGGATATGAACAGGTAGTTCACAGAAGAAACGAATGGCCAATAAATATTAATATATGAAAATATGTTCAATCTTACCAGTAATTAGGCAAATGGAAAGTAAAATACAATTATATAATATAAGCATAAATGTAAAAAGTCTAGTAATTTTAAACATAGGTTATGGAAAGATTAAAACTCTCATAAGGTTATGGAAAGATTAAAACTCTCATAAACTGTTGACTAGAGAGTAAACTTTAAAAAACTATTTGCCAACATCTAGTGAAAGATGTGCATATTTCATGAATGTGAAATTCTAATTCTATCCATATATCCTAGCCTAGACCAAGGTACACTAGGGGAGCACAAAAATTTTCCAGTGATCCAGGGGCATGCATAACTTTAAGAGTACCAATTTTCAGATTGTAAACTTTGTATGTATTTCTTCCTGATTTGATCTGCCAGTGAACATGTCTGTGTAGTATGGATTCTTCTTTTAAAAACTCCCCTTTCACTATCACCCTTTTCCTTCTCTAAAGAAAGGCATATTTCTCACTTCTTCTGCATCTTGTTACAATGCTTTCTTCTGGAATATAAACATCAACAGGGCATCAAAGAAATATACAATTTAAGAAGGCAATGCCCTGAGAAATGGGAGAAAGCAAAGCAAAAGGAGTTTGTATAAGAAATGTTAAAGGAGAGATGGCACCTTATTTCATCCCAGCAACAAACTTAAATTAGCTGATGCTCACATGGATACATATGAACTCATTTACTTGAGTCTAAAAATAAAGTCAGAATTTTCTAATATAAAGTAAGTTTTACTCAGTTGACTAATTTTATCTGGTTGACTAGTTTTGTTACCTGAATTATAGAGTAGATACTTTTCATTATTAAAATCAGCTAAATCTATAGGAAAAAGTTTTGATAAAATATACTTAAAGCAAATCTACAATATACAATATGCCTAAACCATTTAAACATGATATATTTCAGATATCAACTTAAAAAATGAGTGAGTGTATTCATAATTTTTAAAAAACAATTTTAGAGGACATACAAGCAAAACCTTAGAAAACCACTGCTCTAGAACTCTCATATAATATATACAAGATCTAGATGTTCAATGGAGCCTTGTTTGTAGAAGAAACTTAACATTTCCATCACTAAAGGAATCTAAAAAATTGTAGTACACTCATATAATGGAATATTATAAAATAGTAAAATAAGTGAACTAGATATAGAAGGTTCAAGGTATAATTTAAAAAGGATCAACATGGTTTGATCTCAAAAACATAATGTAGAATTGAAAAACCAGATTATTTATGTAGTGTTTAAAAACCAGCAAAGCAATACTATGTATCAGTTGAGAATATATACATTTGTGGTAAAAACACAAAGTGTATAGGAAAGATACTCTGGTTGCTTCCGAAGAGGAAAAGAGGGTAAGGGAATGGGGGGTAAGGAGACCTGAATGTCTTATTTTACTCCCTTCATTAAGAAGAACTTAAGTAAATACATCAAAATGTTCGTCTCTGTTAAATTTGGGTGGTAGGGACATGAGCATCATATTATTATTTGTAATTGTGGTTGAAATATTTCAGAAATAAAATAAATATTTAAAAACTCTGACAGTAACAGATGGACATCCTTCTTAAGTGAAATTACTTACAGGCCAAGGTGGTGGGACAGAAGTTACCTCTGGAGTATGAAAATAAGCAACACCATTATGATAAGTGTAAGGATATCCAGTTGAAGTTGTTAAATACATTGTTCCAGCTGCTGGCATTAGACTAGAACCTAAAGCAAAGATTAAATAATAATAATTGAAATGTTAAATTTAACTTTAAAAAATGTCTTTTCTGAACACTTAAAATATTTATCTCAACACACACCTACATAGCTATAGTAAAAATTGAATGTCACAAGTATTTTTTTAAAATTCCTTGTAGTAAAGTATTTTTGAAGTATGTATTTTCAAACTTACTATATTAGAGCTTTCAAACTCACTATATTAAAGTGATTAAAAGAAAAAGAAACAATGTTAATAAGAAATACTAAAAATTCACCAATTCAGAGTCTAATACCAGTATAATGAAACATGAAACACAGAGCTTAACAATTTAAATTATTATCAGCTAACTCATTATTTTTACAAATATAAATTATATATAATTTAGAGTTACTTGAAAACTACAGACACTGTAGAAAAGTTCCTAAGACCTGGGCTAGATTTTTTAATTGTAAAAATTCAAAGATGATGGAGGCAGTGAAATTGGAGATTTTTCTTTCCTGAAGATGTTTTGGTTCTGCCAATTCTACTAATTCTTTGGGTCTACTACCAGCAAGCATTCATTTATACTACAATTCTCTTTTATCTCTCTTTTCTATTATCTGTTCCCTATTTAGTCTCCTTTTGCTAATACTGCTGCTGTTGCAAACTTGACTACAAGTCTTCATGTGGCTAGTCTGGGGTTCCCATCTCTTTTCCCAGGCCAACTTATGTCCAAGAAACCCCACCCCAAACCAACAAATTATATATGTATATATTTATTATTATTTTTGTCATGTAGGAGGCTGTAAAAGTTACATAAGCCAAGTTAGATTAACTACTTGGCCAGAGAGGTTATATAAATTACTGAAACTGACAATTCTCCTGCGACTACACTAGTGCTTCTCAAAATTTTACATTAGAATCATCTAGGTAGCTGATTAAAATACAAATTCCAGGGACCCATCTTCATAGATTTTGAATTATCAGTAAGTCTGGGAATTTGGCAGCTCCCAAGTGAACTGATGCTGTCTGCAAATCATACTAAGTCGCACTTGCCTACCATTTTAAATAGCACTACTACTCCCTAGATTTTACTCTCGCAAATAATAACGGTAGTCTAAAAATATTACACATTATGCCATATTTATATTTAGTGCATTCCATTTTATATCAATCTACTGGGGACACTTTGGTTATCTCCTAAATTAGCAAATATTAAGTCCAAATTAAACTGCCCAATGTTTTAAACATCCCACTAGACACTATGATGTAGTTAAGAAAAAAAAAAGTTAGTTTCTAATTTTATGTCAAGTTTCTCCATCTAGCCAAAGACTCTGTTAGAGATTTTAACCAATATTACAGGCAAAAAGTTAACTATAAAGATGCCTGATTTAATAAATGGGAAGAGTTAAAAAAAGAGTAGAGTTGAAAGTACTACTGAAATTTGAGGAAGGTACATACATAACTTAGCTAATTCCTAATTCTTTAGGGATTGTTCCCTCTGATAATTATAACATTTGTTTGGGTTACAGTATATATCATATTTCTGATATTGATTCTACATTTTCACTTTCAGTATTTTTACTGATTAATTTTAAATTATTTTTCTAATTAGAAAAATTTCTCATTAGTAATTCTAAATTCTAATTACTTTTATTATTATTTTTTTGAGACAGTGTCTCATTCTGTAGCCCAGGCCAGAGTGCCTTGGCATCAGCCTAGCTCACAGCAACCTCAAACTCCTGGGCTCACGCAATCCTGCTGCCTCAGCCTCCCGAGTAGCTAGGACTACAGGCATGTGCCACCATGCCCGGCTAATTTTTTCTATATATTTTTAGTTGGCCAATTAATTTCTTCTATTTTTAGTAGAGAAGGGGTCTTGCTCTTGCTCAGGCTGGTTTTAAACTCTGGATCTTGAGCAATCTGCCTGCCTTGGCCTCCCAGAGTGGTAGGATTACAGGCGTGAGCACCTGGCCTAATTACTTTTATTATTTTAAATATTGTCATCATAAGATATTTTTCCTTTAAAGAAGTAACTGTATAGAATATATGTAAGCATCATTATTTATCTAACTTTTTCCCTAGACAAAAAAACTAAGATATATTAATTTGTGATACGAAATATTCATTGGACCACCAACTCTGCTACAATAACTTTATTAAATGAAAAACCATTAAGAAACAAAGTTCTATAAAAAGCCTAATATTTCAAAAAAGAACCATTGCTTTTCCCCTTCCCAAAAAACAAAACAACAAAAACCAACCAAACAACAAAAAAGAACCATGTAAAAATATTGAAAAATACATTAGTTCTCAATACATACGAGGGATCCCTACTTGTTGTTTTCTTATCGCTGGACCAATGTTCAGTTTCTTATCCTTATAATTAAGTTTTTCAGCCTAAAATAAAGAAAGAATAAATTATTTGGAATTATTATTTGTAAAACCAATAAGGAAAAACTAATGAGAAAGAATTTTAAAAATTCAGACTATAATATTCTTCCAAAGCAGCAAGGTATAGTGGAAAGGGTAGTTTGAATTCAAATAGATCTGAGTCTGAATCTTGGTTCCAATGCTCTGACCCTAATTCCTTATTTGTAATACAGTTAATCCGCATTTTCGTGGATTCTCTATGTATGAGTTTTTCCATTTGCTAAAATTCATTTGTAACACCGAAATCAATACTCATGGCAATTTTGAGGTTATAAGTGGACATGCGCAAGCAGCGAAAAATTTGAGGAGCCTGACACACACTTTCTCAGCTAAGGTCGGTCAAGGCAATGCTTTCTTCTTGTTTCACTTACACTGTAAAAGAGAGCTTTCTATTTAGTGCCATGCTTTCTGCATTTTTGTTCTTTTTTTTGGTGATTTTGTTATTTAAAATGGCCCCCAAATGTAGGGCTGAAGTTCTGGCTAGTGTTCCTAAGCACAAGAAGACTGTCATATTCTTTATGGAGAAAACATATATTAGATGTGCTTAATTGAGGCATGAATTATATTGCTGCTGGCTGTGAGTTCAATGTTAATGAATTAGTAATCTATTACATATGGTCTTTAAATAGAAACACACATAAAATACAGTTATATATTGATTGGTTGATGGCAATATTGTGACCAGAGGTTCCTCATCCTGTATTTCCCCTAGGAACAGTAGTCTAGTATTCACTAAATCAGTGGCAACTTTATAGAGCCTAACTCCCACAAATAACAAGAAACAACTGTATATGATTTTAATAATATACAATTCAAAGCGCACTTTTTCCTAAAAAAGTTAAATGTTACATTTGCTATAGCTTAAAACTTATTAACTAAGCTGCAGGCTATAGACTTCCTTAGTTTATATAAACTTCCTCATAGGAGAGAAATAACCTCAAATAATCTCACTCTAGGAACCCATGTTTGTAGTGTTTTACAGGAATTCAAAATGCTATTAATACTTTGCATTAATATCCATATTCTTAGTTTAAGCAAATAAAGTGAAAAATTATTTTACAACTTCACAACCATACTCATGTAATGATTTTAGAATTTGTTCTTATTCAAATAGTTCTTTGGGGACTAATGCCCATCTCAAGATACAAATAAGTTAAGTATTTATAGCAATTGATCACTTGTACTGGAACGCTACTACTAAAATTAAAGGTTTAGTTTCAAAGAAAGACATTCTAAAAATGAAATTAAATGAAAATCATACCTCTTGTAAAATTTTTTGTGCATCTTCTTGTGTTTCAAAAGTGATGAAACCATACCTAAGTAAATGCATTAATTATTACTAATTATTTTCTTAGAACATTACATTAATTATAATAAAATATAAAAATTTATTCTATAAGACTCAGCCACTGTAGGAATAAGCATTATTCTATGCTGTAATAGGATGCAAATCTTAGAAGAATCATTCATAGCTTAACATTGTTACCTCTTCTTACAGTCAGGGGACTAAAAGAAAAAATGGAAAACCTGGAATATTGAAACAGTTTCAGCCCTCAGCTGTATGTAAAGAAGAAAAGCATGAGAGATTAATGTTCTGGCTAAAAAATTGGGATGCCATGAATTTCAGTTCAGAGCAATAGATAATCTTTTTTTTTTTTTTTTTTTTTTTTTTTTTTTTTTTAAGGGTCTAAGTCCCAGAGCACTGATACAGTGGCCTCTATTGGGACAAAGACCGATAATCTTTTAAAATAAAAGAAGTTTGGCTTATTTAGAAGAATCAAAGTAGAAAAAAAACTTTAAAAAATTAAAACTTTCAACACCGTGTTTCTCCAAAAATAAGACCTACCCATAAAATAATCCTAGCAGGATTTCTAAGCATTTGCGCAATATAAACCCTATCCGTAAAATAAGACCTAGTGATGGGCGTGGCTACGCAGCGTATCTTTACAAGCCCTTCTCATCTGCCCCATTGTGACAGCTACTATCCCAGAGGTGATGGGGAAGGTACCAGGAGCCCCACCAACAAGGTCGGCTCCCCTTGTCAGGTCCTGGCCATCCTGTGTGTGCTGCAAGCTGAGGCTTTGAGAGGAAAACACAGCCTCTGAAAATAAGCCCTAGGGTGTCTTCTTGAGGAAAAATAAATATAAGACCCTGTCTTATTAACTCCCTATATTGGTAAATGACTATTTAAATGTGTTATTTAATTATTATTAGCATATATAAACTGGTAATACAATTATTAGTATATTTTCCAAATAATATCAGTTAAAAATATGTACAACCCAAATTTTATGTCTAATTTTCATATATGATTACCTTCAAGCACAATTCATATAATGTTCAAGATACAAATACATATACATGATGTGTGCTATGTCCAAAAAGCCAAAATAGATAGAGAAAAAAAGGAAACAAATGAAATAAAAAGTATATCTCTCAAAGCCTAATTTCTATTCAGATAATTTAAGGAAACTCAGTAATGTTAAATATCTTGACTACTATTTTCTTCAATTCATAATTGCATTATACATAAAGTTTCTTTTTTTTTAAAAAAAGGAATTTCTCTTTTTCTGTTTGCCCAAATATTAAATAAGAATTTTTTTTGCATTAATTTCTCTGGTAGAACACATATACCACCCAGTGGAAAAGGCATAAAATACAGTTTTTATTTTCATGTGTGTTTTTCAATGATAAGAAGTGGATATTACCAAAATGTTGCAAATTCTATTAGCCAAACAAAAGAGGAACAATCATCTTCATTTTAATATTGATTGGTAGCTTGAAGAAATATTTCATTTGTTTAAAAAATAACTTCTCTGTAGATCCCATCTCTTCCAGAGTATCCATCTGTCATATTTAAATATTGTTTCTCAGTAATACTGTTTTTTTTTTGTTTTTTTTTTATTTTATTTTTTTTTTCCAACTGACACCTTGATTGTAAGTAATACTGTTTTCTATTCAACACATTGGTCCCTTCTCTTAAGCCTATAAATATGTATGACTCTACTCTCAAGAAAACAAATCCAGTCCTTCACTGCCTTACCTATTTTCTTTTAACTTTGCAGTCAAACTCTTTAAGTGAGCACACTATGTAAACTACCTTTTACATAGTGCTGAAATTTGGCTTTTGTACATGTGGCAATCTACTGAAATAGCTCTACACACTTCAAGACACAATCTACTGCTTTCTTCTCAAATTTCATTGTCGTTGATATGGCAATTAAAAATTATTCTTCACCCAGCACAGTCGCTCACGCCTGTAATCTTAGCACTTTAGGATGCTGAGGTGGAAGGATCTCTTGAGGTCAACAGTTCGAGACCAGCCTGAGCAAGGGAGAGGCCCCGGCTCTAGAAAAAATAGAAAAATTAGCTGGGTGTAGTAATGTGTGCCTGTAGTGCCAGCTATTTGGGAGGCTGGGGCTGGAGGATTGCTTGAGCCCAGGAGTTTGAGGCTGCAGTGAGCTATGATAAGCCACCGTACTCTAGCTGGGGCAAAGAGTGAGATTGTCTCAAAAACCAAACCAAAAACAAACAAACATAAACAGTTTTAAAAATCATTCTCATTAGAGTTATATTTCTCATATTATTAATGGTTTCCTAATTAGGTCTCTGAAGTACAACCTACAGACATTTCTTGGGATCAGCTATTTCCAAATAAAGCTCTCTATAGTCTAAAGCAGGGATACTATTTCAAAAGTATCTGATTCCTTTAGCTTCTGGTTCCTCAGCCAATATACATTTGCTACTCAACATCAAGTGCTTTCTGTCTAACAACGAATGGTTCCTCAGCCTTTGCAAGAATAACTTCACAATTAAGGAATATTATAGTGTCCCTTCTCTCCAAAATACACACACATGCATGCACACGCAAAATAAATAGGAAACCAAAGTTGGGGCAGAAAGGAAGAGGGCATGATATTCTCTGTTGAAAAAATAGAATGAAAGTAAATTAGCATACAAAACCTAGTAATCCAATAAAAATACAGTTGTTAACTCTATATACCATCTATAGTAATACTAACCCTTTGGATACTCCAGCTCTGTCATTTACAATCTTCACTTCTTTTACAGACCCATACTGGGAAAAGAATTTTCTTAAATCATTTTCATTTGTCTAATGGCATAAAAAAGAAAACATTAAAAACATTTTTTAATTGATAAAAGATGAGCAATTCTTATGCTTGTTTTGGAAAGAGAGAAAGTTATAGACAGTAATATGGATGAAGAATGCCTCTCATCATCAAAACAGTGCATGAAACCACTAGGTTATTAAAATCAATATAAATACCTTGCTATATTCGCTATAGCTATGTTGTTAAACTACCATATACCAATCAAAAATTTTTAAGCTGAATTATTTTAAAACTACAAAGAAAGATCAATATTTAAAGGAATCTTTAAATGATTCTTATTTTCTAGTTAGCCAGTTTTAAAAACCAATTTGGATTAGGCATGCTATCTCTATAGTAAAGACATTTTACTGTTGGCTCTCATAGCTTAGAAGCTGACAGTCATGGCAGTAGCATTATGTTATGTTGGCCTACACTAGTCACTCTATTTTAATCAGCCTCATCTCCAAGAAGAGTCAGGTCTTAAGGAAGTGATATATTTCACTTTTAGAAAAAGTATTGAATTCAACTTGTGATAACAATGGAGTGATTATAAGATTTAAAGTTATTAGATACTTTATCTGTACTCAATATTCATTTCAGCTAAATTCAGACATTATGATATTCAAAATAAATATGGAAACCATAATTAGACGTAAAATGTACAAGATGGCTATGAAGATGGTTTTGGCATATCTGGTTTCAATTGAAATAGTCTGATAATAAGCTCCTATCATCTTTTCCTGGAATATTGACATTAAATTCATTGCAATTTTATTTTATGGTTTAGCTGTAACTATTTGCCTCCATGAGTAACTTTAAATGTCCCTAGGAAAAAAAAATTTCTTCATATAAGTGGGAAAAAGGTATACCTTAGAGCAGAGGTATGCCTTTTCAGTTCAACAGCTACTTATATACACTATTGGCTTTTAGCTGATAACATAAAGCCTGCTAAACTGGATAATGACAAATACTGATTTAATCTAAGAATAACTGAATGCCTTTTATTTCAGTTAATAGAATATAATATCAATGCCAGAATAAGGACTGCTATTAGAGATTTGAAAACAAATTAATTCAAACTATCACTGGTAGAAGAATCACCAGCTCAATTTTGCAGTTATAATTCTTTGTTGAAAAGGAGACAGAAAGTCAAGATAATTAAACATTAAGAGGATTGTCAGTGGCTTATAAAAAATAAAAGGTTAAAAAGAGACTACCTGCTACTACAGTAAATTATTTTCTTGCTAGCATTTATCTATGATTTTAAAAAAGGTTGTAAATATAAGGGAGGGAATCCTAGCAGTTACCTTAAACCTATGGCTGTATTCTAACAACAGCCTCCAAAGTTCATACTGCAGCTGATGAGTTTTAGTAAGTTAGAATAATCTGGGCATATAAATACATTTACTGATAATTTAGTTTTAAAAATATGCTAAGCTAATAATAATATAAATGAATTCTGAATAAGAATATCCGAATTGAATATTTCTGATCAGCCATTAATATTTTACACAGGTACAGAAAATCTTTTTAAAAATAAATATTTTATAATAAATAATTTTTCTTACCTTATTTTTAAACAATCTTATACTTGCTTAAGATTCATTATTTTTGCAAATATACTAAATATAAAATTTCTCCTTGTGCAGGAAAAAGTAATTACACCCAAATTGTGACAGATTGATTATACAGAAATAATGAGTTATAAATGTCAAATATCACATCTAATGGCACAGGAAAGTTTTTTTTGTTGTTGTTAAAAAAGATAACTCTCCTTATAATTTCTAATATGTAATATTGGAAGCTTAGAAATTATTCTACATATCTATTTGGAAGAAGGGTATTCTGCTTAAAATGTCTATGCACGCCTTTCTTGGAGGTGTTTACTACTACCTCCTACATGGGGGTGCCACAAATCATCTCACAAACTTAAGCTTCTTTGAAAGAGTGAAATGACTGATTAAATGATTTAAATATATTACTGCTAAAATACTTTATTCTGATAAGGACACAGGCCTTTTCTTGGGATCAAATTCTATCACACAAAGTAATTTACAAAAGATCAAAGTCTAGGAGGTTATTCAGGACCCTCAGATAAAGGTTGAGATAAAGAAATAGGATTTCATATGTATAAGGTTTTTTTAAAATTGAGTCTTCTTTTGAAAGTTATAATCACCCATTATTTTGGCTTTGGAGTATTAGGCTAGAAAGTATAATTAGTTTAGTATGGTGACATGAAGATTATGGAGCTATGAATCAGAAAACTAGAATTCTAGTCTCACTCTGCCACAAAGTAGCTAGGAGCCTACAGCAAATCAATGAGACTCAATTTCCTTCCATTTGAAACTGGACAACTGCATATACTCTATTTAGCTTACATAATTGTTGAAAAGATTTTTTATATTAAGACAATTTGAAACCTATTAATCATTATTCAAATGTTATTTTATAGTTGCATAAAGAAACAATTTCTGAGAAATAAAAACTTCTACAAACAATACACTATGTTTGCATGCATAAAAATAGGTACCTTGAAGTCAATTCCTCCTACAAAGATGCGATTAGGGATCACTGTTCCGTATCTTGGGGCACTTGTTGGGTTATTCAGAGGCACAGGTGACACAGGATTAGGGGATGGAGATAATGAATCTGTTTGCGTCTGATTTGATGTTTGCTGTAAAATAAAATCCTTTTAAACTTTTAGTACTGGGTGTAAGTTTTGATGCAGGCTGAAAATACATAACCTTCAAAAAAGATGAGTCATTTAGGCAAAATGTAATATTTTAGACTTTAATGTTAGGAAGATTATAATTAGAGCTAATAGCTTTGTGGGACAACGAAAAATATAGGAAACAGAATCTACTCCACAATAAAGAAGATCTTAAATATTAAATATATTATTTAAATATACTTGTATTAATTATTATTAAATATATTATTTAATTATTAAGGAGGAACATTAAACTCATAAAGATGTTTGTGAAAGAAAAATGCCGCCCTACAAAGCTGGCAGCTCGGCTGGCACAACCTAACTAGTCCCTGGTGTTAAGAGTTGGCCTGGTACTCATGGCTAGGCTGTGGTGTTCTCTTGCTAACAAAACACCAACGTCAGATAAGGTCACTTTGTGACTGATGGATCAAGATAAAAACAAGGCATTCCATAATCATGTCTGAACACTGACAAAAGCAAAAGCATTGCCCAAATACAAGAATGACCAAACATCTCTGATTACTCCTTCTTTATCAATCACAGCTTTAACCTTGATCCACTTTTCCTGCATTTTAGGTAAGAATTAACACATTCAATCACAGAATTACTCCCTGACAACATATATTCCTGAGTAAAGCCCTTCTTCTTTAAAATCCTCTCTAAAAATCACTTAACACAAGCTTAAATCCTGTAAGTTCTTTCTAAAACCCCCTGAGAGTTCCCATGGTGTATGTTCTTCCTTATTCCAGTACGTCAACAGACTCAACTTTACTAAACAATATGTGTCCATGGTGGTCTTTGGCTAAAGGGCATTAATAAGTTAATAAACTCTGACATTCATGTTCACCATTTTCAGCCTGAAAGTCAAATTTTTAAGTGTACTTGTCAATCTGAAGATTGGATTTGTTTTGTTTTGTTTTCCCGGCTAGAGTGTTGTAGTGTCATCATAGTTCATTGCAACCTCAAACTCCTGGGCTCAAGTGATTTCTCCTGCCTGAGCCTCCCAGGTAGCTGGGATTACAGGTGTGTGCCATCATGCCTGGCTAATTTTTCTGTGTTTTGTAGAGCTAGGGTCTTGCTCTTGCTCAGGCTGGTCTTGAACTCCTGGCCTCAAGCAATCCTCCTGCCTAGGCCTCCCAAAGTGCTAGGATTATAGATGTGAGCCACCATGCCCGACCCATAGGTATAAATTTTTATTCCAAAGAATTGAGCTCAGCACATATCCACATGTTCACAAGTCTAAGTCAGAGGACCTAAATTTTGATTTTAATAAACATATATTAATGTATACATCACACAATGGCAAGATAAAAACTCTTAAGGTATTATTGGAAAAAACAAGACTTGAGAATAGAGTTTTAAAGAGAAACTGATCCCAGAACTTGCTAATTATTTTCCTTCTGTAAACACTAAACAGATTTCTAACATACTAAGTTACTGCATCAAAAAGCTTAAAGTTCATAATTTAATTATCTGAGAAACAAACCCATGAAAATGAATTTCCAAGTTAGATAATAAAATTGTTATTTTTCATATTTGATCTGTTGTCCCACTTCATTGGCCAATAAAACCATGATGCCTAAATTAAGCTCTGCAAGAAATACAAAGAAATGACTAGGCCAGTGGTGACAAGTGAGCTATAGGCTAGTCCTCATGGGCTCTCTTCCCCATCCAATATTAAGGTGGGAAAAATATACTTCCTAATAAGGGAGTTCATAAATACTTCTTTTTAAAACACAGAAAAGTCATCACATTTAATAATTACTATGTTGTAGTTTCCAATTAAAGAAACTGAGTGACCTGAGCAATGTAGCTTATGCCTATAATTTGGGAGGCTGAGATGTGTGGATTGCTTGAGCCCAGGAGTTCCAGGCTGAAGTGAGCTATCATCTACCACTGCCCTCATCCTGGGCAACAGAGCCAGACCCTGTCTCCTAAAAAAAACCAAAAAAACCAAAAAAATTGGGAATCCAATCTTACAGCTTCCTCTCTGGGCACTTGGAGGTTATTTGTAACTTCAGTCACTCTGCTACTCAGTAGGATATAATGCTCATAATAGATGATTCTGGGATGCTTAGTGCTTTTTAGCTGTGGATTTGTATTGTTAGAGATAATGTTTCAGCTCTAGTAGGTATTTGTCTCTCTACCCATTTGTATATAGAGTATAAAAATTACCTATTTGCCAAATTAAAAAAAAATCAGTCTTCACAAAATTCTCTTCTTAAAAACAAGAGTTCAATGGATGAACTCATTTGTTCTCAAGTAAAAGACAAACTCCATTCTTTTTCATTGAGAGAGGTATGAAATGAATGGAAGTGAACACAGTTCTTTATTTCCAAGACTTTTTTTTCTTCTTTTTGTTTTTTTCATCTTGAAAAACTAAAGAATAGTCACTGAGAAAAGAGAAACATCAACTTTTTATGCTCAATTCACTTATTTCTCCAGTATCTAAGGCTCCTGCTCTGTTGTGGGTTCAAATTGCTTAATTTTCTCCTTACCACTTACATTTTCTAACATTCTATATAATTTAATTATTATGTTTATTATTTCTTTCCACTATAATGTAATGTACGGAGGCGGAGGTTTTGCTTTTTTTCACAGCAGCATCTAAAGGAGTGACAGACATAGAAGGTGCTCAATGAATATTTGTTGAACGAATAAATAAACGAATACGTCATTTTTGGAGGATAGACCTGTTCACGATAGGCCAAACAAGCCGAGAGCTGAAAAACACAGTACGAAAAACAGCCTAGAAAATATTTTAATGTTAGCAATATCAAGGCTCCGGGAGAAGCAACATCTAACTTTCCTACAGATGGTTAAGCGATGCATTGAGTTAAACAACAAAGACAGTCTCAAATTCCGCTGGCAATAATTTTACAAGTGTATTAAAGCACCTAGATAGGGGCTGCTACTTGGTTAGAAATAAGGGTCCTCCGCTTGATAAAATGTCCAGCACTAAAGAGTTTATTACAATTCTGCTCCAAAGTAATGGGCCCTCGCTGCCACCTCCCCTCGAGAATTAACCTCGAAATCTATCAACTACTTTGCAAACGAAGACAGCAAACAGCAAGAGGGCGAGCTAACCGTCGCAGTTACGGCCTCGGCGCTCCTTCCCCTCCGAGGCCAGCAAGTTGAGGTGCCTGGGGAAATGGCCGCGGCGACAACTTCCTCGGGTTCTCTCGGGTCATCATGAACTTGGGCACTGACACGGGGATCCACCCCCTCCCCACCAAAGTGCGGGAGGGAAAAAAAAGCTAGCCAGCGAGAAATTTTGCCCCACAAACCCGCCAGCAGCTGTGGCGGGAACCCTCAACGGCACCGACCCCGCCGTCAGCCTCCAGCGCAGGTGGCCCCTCAGCCCTCGCGTGGCGCGCGTTGATTGGCTGCCGGCGGGGCGTCGGGCGGGCGCGGTGGCACGATGCCGCTGCCCCTCGGGCCTGTCCGCCGCCCTCCCAAGCCCCAGTCCGCCAGCCCGGCCCTGCCCCGACTCGCTCTGGCTAGCTCCAGGTGATAGTGAGCGGTGCGACCTGGGCCACAGGACGCTCGCCCACCCCCGCCCAGGTCTCGCAGACCTTCCGGTCCCCAGTGACTAGTCGGGGAGTGGAGGTTTTCCACGGCCCGGCCACTCCTTGCCACGGGCGGCTGGGCCTAGCTCGGCAAGAGCGAGCGTCAAAGACGCGGCCGAGCTCAGTTTCGGCGGGAAAGCGGTTTATTTGCCGGGACCCAGCCAGATGCACGGGGGCAGCCACCCGTCGCCTCCAAAATCTCCCAGCCCTTTCTGAGGTCCCCCTAGCCCGTCTCCGCCCAGTACAGGCCCGGTCGCCGCACCTTCCCGACCCCACGACTCAACCAGACGGACGTACAGGCTGGCGGCCCTTCGTCGCGCTCGATGGGCCACCCTGGCCACGTTTCTTCCCAACAAAGTAGCGAGCGTTTGGGCTCTACACGTCGCCCTTCCAGCCCCTCATGGACAGGGTCCACATTGCTCCTTCTCTCCGTTACCCTGGGCCTCAGGGCCCTGATCGCCATACTCACCGCCCCGGACTCGGTTTCCATCTTCTTCTCCGCTCTTCAAAAACGGGGGGAAAGGAACAGAAACCTATAGTTTGAAAGCACCCTCACACCAAGGCAGCAACACCACTTTTCCCAACTGGGACTCTCTCCCCCTGGCGGCGACGGCGGCGGTGGCAGCTGCAGAGGCGCAGGCTCGGACCCGGGGCCTGAACCTGCCACCCGGGGGGGTGGGGAGGGGCAGCCGGCGTCGCCTCGGGCGGCTGGCTGCAGCGCGGGCGGGCGCCGCAAGCCAGAGAGGGGCGCGGGCGGGCGGGTTTTGTCTGTGGCCGGTGGTTTCCGAGCCCGGACGTGGCAGGGCAGAGCGCACAGCAAGTCGGGGCAGGCGTGGCGTGTGCGGGTCGAGGGCTCGGTTGGGGACTCTCGCCTGCTTTCGGACGGCTGAGGAGGAGAGAGCGAACCGTAATGCAAAGCTCCATGCACAGCACGCCTTTCCCTCTCCTCGACTTTGAAGGAGAAAAGTTGGCCTCTGGGCCTGGTGGGTTTCGAGAGGTTGAGGTGACCTCAAGACTTTACTACCGTGCAAGAAGCCGGTTGAGGGGCGACTTCGAAGGCTGGTGTGAGGTAGAAGAACGTAGTTTTCAGGGCCAAACTATGACCCCCCACGCATCAAAGTCGGGGCTACAGAGAAGCCGCGGACGCCGCTCTGCACCTGTTGTCGCCGTCACTCATCCCGCCGGGCGGGCGGGGCGGCTTGGTCAGGACCAGCCACGCAGCCGGAGCTCCGGTGACCGCCCCACTCCCGCGCCCCGAGCCACTCCCGCAGACTTGACCCGCTGAGCTCCGCCGGCAGCCGCACAGCCTCTGGAGCCGGTCGGCGACCAAGGAGACCGCGCGCTGGAGGGGGCGAGGATCCTGCGACTTTGCTGGAGCGGCCCTAGCTTCCCACAGCCTCGGGATCTCCTTTGAAAGAAGCCTGCTTTGTAAAGAATACGTGTTTCTGAAAGGTAGCTGAAATAATTACAACTAGGTAAACTTACGTAGTAATGATTATCATTATTATAAATACTATTTATCAAGGACTCACTTCTTTCACAGCGCCTTAGGATCAGTATCAATCATTTCATCATTTTTATTCTCATAGCAACTCTTCTGATAGATGCTGCTATTATTGTCATATTACAGGTGATAAAGCAAGGGTGTGGGAGGATAAGTAAGCGGATCAAAGTCTAAACCTATGGAATATTTAACCTTGGGTCTCTCTACCACAGTTCTTGATTTTAACCATTTTGCCATAAACTTTTAAGGAATCATAAGCAGCAACTGTTAAAACTTACATCAGTAATAACTTTTGTACACTCTATTGTAAAAATTTGACTTTGAGTTGTTTTACTTTAAAGATAAAGGTTTAAAAAATAAGCAGAGTGACTATATTAATTTTTAATTTGTTCAAAGATTAGCTCGTCGTATTATTTACCAAAAATAAAGTTGGAAACAATTTTTGTTTATCTTAGCTGAAGCATCCTAAAAGTCACTATACATTCCTGTATGCAATTTAAGCTCATTTTGTCAGGTTTTCGTCTCTGTGGAAATAGTGAATACAAACATAATTAGATTAAAAGTCATATTCTAGAGCATAATTTTACTGTTCAGTAGCATTAGGACTGATCATCTTTGGGCATTTTTCTTTCTAATAGTAATGATGGATTTGGGTAGATCCTCTCTTGCCCAAGTCTTTTTCAACTAAAAACACTTGTTTTTGAAGACTGCATTCTCTAAAAAATTTTATTCACCACAATAGGTGTTTAATCTGACACAAATTAACAACATTTAGGGAACACTAACTGTATTTCAAGGCCTGTGTTGGGTACTAGGGGATATATCGTATTTTCAGTATGGTAATTCCCTGTCCTGCTTCTAACTCTTAATTCTTACACCAAAAGGAATTTTTGATTATAAAATAGGATAATTTAATAGACATTTATAGAGTTCCTATTATGTGCAGTATATAATGGAATGTGATATAGGAGATATGAAATGAAGATCAAACCTCTGTCCGCAAGGCATTTTAAATCTAGAAGTGTAGAAAAAGCTAATTACTAACAATAGCAACTATATGTAAATATGAATAAAAAAATACAAACAGAATAGGGTAAGTGATAAATGAACTACGATCACAGGTTTGTGGGAGCACACTGTCCAGGGCTGGATAAGGGCACCATCAAGGCTGGAACGCTGGTCTGGGTGGAAAAATGGGAGGAAAGATATTGAGCCCGTATCAGGAACTCAATACTAGGCTAGACATATTCTTTTTTGATCTTCTTAGTTAACATTCTTTCTCTCTCTCTCTTTCCCCAACTCCCCCACCCCCATTGGAAACCTGAACCTTAGGTAAAAATGACTCTTGTTGTGTTGCTAGTAAGTGGTGGATGCAATTTTCAAAACTTAGTTCTATTTGACTTCATTGCCCAAGCACAGTACACTCTGCCATGTTATTTATACCATGACAATAAAGAGTTAGAATTTTATTCTGGAGAACTTTGCAAATAGGGGGCAATGGAATATTGTGACAGGAGTGAGAATAAAACACTGGAAAAGGGTTAGAAAGATACCAGAAAGGAATTGAGACTGTTGGGCATGGATGGAGAGGGATTGGTGAGGGTCATTCTGAAGTCTCAGTTTCAGATATTGAAGATGTCATTTATATAGATAACTATAAAGATAACTTACAACAAACTGCAAATCTAAATATCTCATTTTCTTAAGTTTTCTACTAGCATCCAATGTTTCTTAGCTTTTTCCTTCACACAGTCCATTCAGAGCATAGTTCTTGTTTCAGGGATTTACTCAAACCTGCCTGCCTTCTCTTGCTGGTAGTTCTTCCCTTCCTTCTTCAGTTTTCTAGCTTCAGATTCTAACTCCTAGTATCTACGTCAGGGTCTCATTTTCTTGATAACTCTTTGGTTGCATTCTCCATCTTATAGACCTAAGGCCTCCTATGGGCCCCACTTTATGCTATAGTATAGGATATGGCAATGATTAAGGCCTGGTTCTTGCCCTGGTAGCAAGACCTGGTAGCAGCCTGTGATCTAGTGGGAGAAGCAGCTATGTAAGTAGAAAGTTTATACATTCACTGTGCTGATTACAGCAGTGAAAGACTTTCCAGGTGCAGAGATAACCCACACGAGGGAGTGATTTACTTTGGTAGATAAAACAACATAAAAAGACATGTTTAGAGGATGCCTTTGATTTCATTTTATTTCTTTCTTGTTTCCAGGTCTGTTAACCTGTTGTTTTACTTTGGAGGATTATTAAGTGCTTTTTCTCTATAATGGTTGGATGTTTGAAATAGAAGAGGCGAGGGACAGGTTTTTTAAAAAGAGGTAGTAAAAAAAGAAAATAAATAAATAAAATAAAAAAGAAATTCAAATGCAAAAAAAATTCAATATATATCAATGGTGAAAATGTCAATTATGTAGCAAAAAATAAAGTCTGTCTTAAGGAAGCAAAGAGGGTAGCTCAGATCTCCTTTTCCTCTATAGGGAACATAATATTTACACGTAGAGAGGGTGTTATTAATACAAAGATGGTCCAGAGTAGAACAATATCTGATTTACTAGAAAATTTCTTGTAAAAATTTATTTATTTGATTATGGTGTTTATTGTGAGCAACTACTTAGATACAAGAATATACAATGTAGAACTTACTGCATAGTATAAGGTAGGAACTCAATAAATATTTGTAGAATAAAGAAATAAATGAACAGATAACCTTTACCCTGCCCTCTGCTTTATCTCAACCCATACCATTTGATTCTCACTTTAGACATTGGACCATTAAGGAGCTCACCAGCTGCACTATTGCTTAATTCTTCTTGTCAGTAGAGTAAGATGAGATACCTACTGCCTTGTCCCTAACTGGCAGAAGTTAATTAAGGGCATATTTAACTGTAAAGGAAAGTTTTAGTTGTGAGTTTTAATAAAAGGTGGATTTTTTTTCCCTAAGAGAAAAACTAGGAGATTTCTTGGGACTTCAGACAGGTTAGTGTATGGCTAGACCACAGCTGTCCTTCTAAACCACTGTGATATCCTTCTGGATTGAGAATGAAGAGCAATTAATCATTCCTTGCCAGAGAACCTTTTTCTTTCCTCTTTTTCCCCCAATGGATATGTGGATTTTAAATTTAAATTGATTTCTCCAGATTGTTTTTTCCATCAACAGTTTATGAGAGTACAGATTCCTGATCATTCTTGCACTGTAAGTTCTCACTGTTTGAAACTTTCTGCCAACCTGATGGTGGTGAATTTAAAAAGCTCACTGGTTAGTCCTTTAACAGCTCTGATGTTAAGTGATTCTTTTTTTTTTTTTTTTTTTTTTGAGACAGAGTCTCGCTTTGTTGCCCAGGCTAGAGTGAGTGCCGTGGCGTCAGCCTAGCTCACAGCAACCTCAAACTCCTGGGCTCGAGTGATCCTTCTGCCTCAGCCTCCCGAGTAGCTGGGACTACAGGCATGTGCCACCATGCCCGGCTAATTTTTTTATATATATATCAGTTGGCCAATTAATTTCTTTCTATTTATAGTAGAGACGGGGTCTCACTCTTGCTCAGGCTGGGTTTGAACTCCTGACCTTGAGCAATCCGCCCGCCTCGGCCTCCCAAGAGCTAGGATTACAGGCGTGAGCCACAGCGCCCGGCCGATTCTTTTTTTTTTTTTTTTAATTGACAAATAATAATTGTATGTATTTATCGGGGTACTATGTGATATTTTGATACATAATACACACGAATACATTGTGGAATGATTAAGTCAAGTTAATTAGCATACCCATCATCTCACTTACTTGTCAGTTTTCTTGTGGTGAAAACTTCTTTGCAATCTACTCTTTTAGCAATTTTGAAATACACAATGCATTATTATTAACTATGATTGCTATGCTGTGCAATAGATCAGCAAAACTTATTTCTCTTGTCTAACTAAAATTTGTACCCTTTGACCAGTATCTCCCCTTTTCTCATTCCTCCCTGTCTGCCCCCCCCCCCCAACCTCTGATAACCACCATTCTACTTTCTGTTTCTGTGATGGACACTTAGGTTGCTTCCATATCTTGGCTATTGTGAATAATGCTGCAGTGAACATGGCAGTGCAGATAACTCTTCAACATACTGATTTCAGTTCCTTTGGATATATAATCAGAAGTAGGATTGCTGGATCATATGGTAATTCTATTTTTAGTTTTTTGAGAAAACTCCACACTGTTTTCTAAAATGACTATATGAATTTACATACTTACCCATCAGGGTTCCCTTTCCTCCACATCCTTGCCAACACTTGTTATCTTTCAGCCAACACTTGTTATCTTTCATTGTTTTGTTGACAGCCATTCTGACAGCTGTGAGGTGATATCTTATTGTGGTTTTAATTTGCCTTTACCCATGATTTTTTTCATACATCTGTTGGACATTTGTATGTCTTCTTTTGAGAAATACCTATTTGCATTCTTTGCCGAATTTTAAATTGGGTTATTTGTTTTCTTGTTGTTTAGTTGTTGGAGTTCTTTATATATTTTTGATATTAGGCCCTTATTAGATGTCTGGTTTGCACGTCTTTTCTCCCAAT